ATATGAAAACTGATAGTAGTATCTATTTTTGACAAATAGAACACTAGTTAAAAAAACTTTCTAAATTTTATATCATATTACAGTATCTTATTAAATTATTTAAACAGTCAAGTATTTATATTGATTAACTGCCTATAATATTAAATTTACTGCAGTAGTTTAGTCTAGAAGAGGCAGTGTTAAAATGATTGAAAATAAGATTTTTATAATAATTTCTTATAGAAAGAGATACCAGATACTATAGAAAACATATTATCGAGTCATTGTTACTTGAAATTGATTATTTTTAATGCCTTTTTATGTCTTCTAGTAATTATCATAATATTAATCAGATGATTATCACATTACAATATTCTTTTATAATTAAATCACAATCTCAATGTCTGCTGAATCAATATATAAATTAACTTTTTATGAAAAACAGTATTTAATAAGTTATAATATTAGATACTATATTAATTCTATTTAACTATCTTTAACTGGAGATTGAATTAATATCTTGTGATTTGATTTATAGAGCACTAAGCATTATATTATAGATCTACAGATTTTTTATTTTTTTATTTTTTTATTTTTTTTAAGATGAAAGTACAAGTATTTGTTAGGTTTTTTATTGATAAGTACCTTATATTAACTTATATAATAGCTTAAGAACTTATACAAGTTAGTATATTATATACTTTATATAAATTATTCCATATTTTATCTTATATCTAGCATCTGAAAGCTTATTGCCTTAAACAATTTTTTTTATAACAACTAGGAAGAGACCTATAGGATATAAAAATTTTACTACTAGTTTTAAACTATTTAATTTATACGACTCAGCTTTGTGTAGAAAAGTTTTGATTAAAAAGATTAGTTCAAATGTTTTTTTATCTTATAATTTAAATCTCAGATCCTATTCTTGCTGGCTTGAGATATCTTTTGCAAAACTATAATTTTTCTTATTATCTGTAGTTAATTATTTTTCAAATCAATTAAATTCTATATCAGATTGAAATAGTTTAAACTAGAACTTTAATCACTATAAAAAAAAAAGGATTAGGATTGAATTAAAATGGAATATAGCCTAGTCTGTATATTCAAATATAAAAGAAGTCTTGATTAAAGAAATTAAATATATACTTCTTAGCTTATTATATTATTCAATTACTATAGGTATGCTTTTGACAATTATTATTGTACTACTTGAATGATTGTTACATTACAATACTTTTTTTAAAGAATACAATTTTAACACTTACCAGATTAGTATATAAAATAATTTTATATAAGAAATAGTATTTAACAGATTATAATGTATATAACTTTTTTTCAAAATATTTTCTTTTATAATAAATTTTTTTCAAAATTAAAAAAACATTTTTTTTGTCTTTCATTATTCAAAAGTTTTTTATATTTTCTTTTTTTTACTATAAGAGCCTCAAGAAAATTAAAAAAATATATTGATATATTGAAATGGAACCTCTAATCAAAAGAAAGCAAGTGAGAATTTTGCTTTTTCTTTGAATTATATAAGAAAAGATCTGTAACAATTATTTCTTTACAAATATTCTTTGGATTTCTTTTCATTTTTTCATTTTTCTAATATGCAAACCTTTTTAAATAATTATATTTTCTGCTTGAAGAACTTCTTTTTAATTAAAAAGATTAAACTTTATATCAAAATTGTTTATATTGTTAATTTGAAGACCAATAATATATTCAATACTTATTTTTTATTATTATTTAATATATTCTGCTATATTATTAAAAACTAAAAATTTTTACTTAAAAATTTTTTTATCAAAAAACTATAATCAATTTATTATTATTAACTAATCAATATTTTAAACTTAATCAATTAAATATTATTAAATTTCAAAACAATTCTATATAACCAAAATATTATATAATAATCAATATAAACAAATCCTATTTTGACAATATCAATAAAATAAGATCATAATATAAAAAAATAAATTAATTAATATATCAACAAAAATATTAATAATCATAACAACATATGATTTAAGTAACATGTCAATAATACTATTATTTATTTTGGACAGTAGCCTAGCCATTTTTGAAAGTAATATCTTATTTCAGCTGAATAGATTAATTAATATGGCATGTTTAATCCAAGGCATTCTTTGTAAGATAATTAATTTTTTTTTCACTTTTCTTCTAATCACTATCAAATATACAAATACAAACAATTATATTATTACTATTACTAACAATAACTCAAGAAATAACTATTAAAAGAACATATAATCAATACTATTATATATCTTAAACTATAACTTGACCATTTTAAAAAGTGAAATTGTACTTCAAAAAAGTGAAACTACCAGAGTAACATTAGGCATCATTTGTACTATAATTAGTTTTTTTGTCATTTTCTTTTTGTTTAACATTTTTTTTTATTTTTATATTTTCTTAAATTTTATTTTATTAATCTTAAATAGATATTTATAGTTGCTTGGTACTATCTTAGATATATATTGATTTTAATATTTATTTTTCATATTATTTAGATAGTTTCTGTAAGCAAGTTAGTATTAGACTTACTAATCAATTGATTATATAAGAGATGTTGTTGCTTTCAACATATAAAAATTATTTTAAAATTTTTATGATAATAAAGAGATAATATTTATCTATTTTAAAAAATAAAATTAATTTTTGGATTTTTTTTTATAAAAATTATATACATGTAAATATTGTTTTAATAAAACTTTAAAAAATATTAAAATAATATTGAAATAATATAATTTTATAATAAATTTAAGTATTAAACTAATATTAAAGTAATATCAAAATAATATTGTTGAAAGTTTTTTACTTGAATAAATTTAGATAAATAATTTATTCAATTTATTTATAATTAATAACTTATTTAATAAGTAATTGGAATTAAATTTTTTTAAACAAATTAAAATATCATTTTTAATTAATTATTAAAAAAACAATTATGAAAATAATAAAATAATAAAATTGATGATAATTATTAATATTAAAGAAACTGATAATGATGAAATACTTAATGATATTATTTTAATATAAATAATCTTGTTATTAAATTAATAATTGAAGATTTGTAATTATTAAATTAATAATTGAAGATTTGTAATTATTAAATCTTAAAAGACTTTTCATTAATTTTTCAGAAAATACAGATTATAAAATGATAAAATATTATAAATATATTTCTAACAAAAGAAAAAGAAATTCATAACTTATTGATCCTATTAAAAAAATAAAAATAAAATATATTATTATTATTATTTATTATTTATTATTTATTGGATTTTTATTTATTTTTTCATAATTTAATAAAAAAATTTTAAAATGTAATAATTTTTTATTATAATTTTTTTATTTAAAAATCACAATGATTATCTTTATTTTAATTAAGCAAAGATTTAATTTAATTTATATTAGAGTAATATTGGTTCCACGAGAATTAGTTAAAAATTTCTCGCGATTCGTTACGTGTTGATCACATGATTAGTATATGATGGACATAATTCGGAAAGTTTACTCGAAAGCAAGTGCGATAAAGATACTGCATGAGTGACGCACAGGAAGCATTTTTCTGCACCCAAAATATAAACTTAAATTCTGTTATCAGCAATAATGAATACAATAAAAAATATATAAATATATAATACGGTATAATTTTTTATATTAAATACAGTATGCGTCGGTCTTACTATTAATAGATATTATGTCTTCTGAGTTAAATATTTGACGATATACGTATCAAGTTTTTATCATGTAATTTCCATAAAAATATATGCAGGCCCTAATCTCTTTGTTGAGTATACTGCAAGGAAATATAATTAAAGAAAAATATGCAATAAAATAAAATTTCCATCATTTACATATAAATAAAGAATTACAGTAAATGAAGTAAATGATGAATTCACTTTGACGAAGATAATCCGAATTCGATTTTTTTTTTCTCATTTGGGCGAATGACGAAGCTTTTACGTGGAACGGGATCCCGCTACATAGAAACACGGCGAGATATTTTCTCGGAAGCCTTTATTTGATATCTGTCTCGTGATCTTTCTTGCCAAATGAATCCCTTGGCGACACACCAGAGAACTTTATGAATGTCGTCGCTTTAAATGTGATCAATTATTCATATAAATGCATGGTTTTTGTCAGTATCACGTGAAAAGTTGAATCCTTTTTTGAACTCCTTGAAAACATTGCCGGGAACGGTCTTTGATTGATGCATCGTCCTTTGTGACATTTCTTATGTATGGTGCATATCGTGTGTTATGTGCACAATTTATCGTGTAACATTTTCTCTTGATCGTATAATCTCTGGTGTAATACGCCAAGAAATATTAACAATAAGTTAGAGATTGAACGAGGTCCTATGTAAAATGACACAATTGAAATAAATGATTTCTTTTACGTATATTGAAACATAGTGTTCTCTAAGTCGCGATTAGCTTTTGCTATGTGGATGGGTTGATTCGAATGAACTCGAAGATCCTTGAATGCTACTGGTAAATGAAACTTTAAAATCAGAAAAAAAACATTCTTATCAAGAAATATACTGTAATTGTTTAACGTCGATAAGAGTTTCTGTTACACATGTAGATACGCATCATCTTTGTTGCTGATCCTCTATGAAAACTTTAATATTGTATAAAAGCGTGGAAGTAAAGTGAATAAATTCCGTCAATATAAAAAAAATCACTATCATATTACAGCTGAAATCTTGGACCATTTAATCGCTTACAAATAAGTTGTCTCACGATGAAATGTATTGGTTGGACGTGTTTACTTGTGTATCCTAATATTTTTTCCAAAAGTAATAAATTAGATAAGTAAGTTTCAATTTTTATTCGATTTGCAGATATATTTATTATGAACAATATTCATATTTAATCTAAGGAATTTATTATTTGTTTCTTTATCAAATATTCGCTCTACCTTTTTTTAAACCTCAACCTCCCCTCATCCAACACAAAAATAATAATCGACATATTAAAATGGGTCTTGTCAATGATATGTACTATCCTGGTGATATCGCTTGGGTGTTAGCCTCAACATGTCTAGTTTTTCTTATGATACCAGGAATTGGTTTCTTCTATAGTGGCATGGCGAGAAGTAAGCATGCACTGTCACTAATAATGTTAGGAGTCTTAGCCATTCCAATAGTATCGATTCAGGTATTCTATATCATGGGCCATCCAAATTAAACTTCTTGTCTTTAATAAATTTTTTTTTCATTTCTTCTCTAGTGGTTCTTATGGGGTTATAGCCTCACATTTAGTTCAACCGGGGGACATTTTATTGGTAACCTTGACAATGCGTTTCTCAAAGGAGTTAGAGGAAAACCTTCACCCACCAGCAATACCATTCCGGAGCTCGTATTTTCAATTTTCCAACTGATGTTTGCCGCAATCACACCAGCGATTGCTCTCGGTTCAGCAGCTGAACGCGTTCGTGTAATACCAGCTCTTGTATTTATTTTTGTATGGTCTACTCTCGTCTATGATGTAATTGCCTGTTGGTGCTGGTCAAAGAATGGATGGTCTCAAGACTTGGGTGGTCTAGATTTTGCAGGAGGAACGCCCGTCCATATTTCATCCGGCTCTGCGGCATTAGCATTTTCTATAGCCTTGGGTAAACGTAATGGCCATGGAAGAGATGAATTTAAACCAAATAATATAACATACGTTGTCCTTGGTACGGCTTTTCTTTGGTTTGGTTGGTTTGGATTTAATGGAGGATCTGCTGAGGCTGCCAGTTTACGTGCTGTGATGGCCTGTACTGTTACAAATTTGGCTGCTTCTGTCGGTGGACTTGTCTGGATGTTGATGGATTATCGGCTAGAGCGCAAATTTTCAGCTCTTGGATTTTGTTCCGGAGTGGTGGCCGGATTAGTTACAATTACACCGGCATCTGGTTTTGTGAGTCCTCCTTCTTCTATAGCATTCGGTTTTTGCGGAGGTGTATTTTGCAATCTTGCTGTTAAACTAAAGCACCGATTTGACTTTGACGATGCATTGGATGTCTTTGCTGTTCATGGGGTTGGCGGTTTAGTAGGAAATATCTTGACCGGAATTTTTGCGGATAGTGATATCGCAAGTCTTGATTCCACACCAATTCCTGGTGGTGCTATAAACGGACATCCTATCCAAATACTCAAGCAATTAGCCGCTTCCGGCGCAGGGATGATATACTCTTTCACTATAACTTACGCTATTCTCTTTATAATGAACCGAATCCCTGGACTCTCTTTACGTTTGGATCCAGATGATGAGGAAATCGGTACTGATGAGGCTGAAATTGGAGAATCAGCTTATTACTTTGTAGAAAGATTGACAAATAACTTCCCTATAACTTCAGTTCAACCAAAAACTTTAGTGGTACAAACTAGTCAACAAATAATTCAATCGTCACACGATCAAAGTAGTCACATGTCGTAAAAAACACGTATTTTTTTCATATATCATTTTATGTATAAAGCAAATACACGTTTTACCAAATAATTTCTTGAATGCATACTTTGATAGCACCTATAATCGATTCTTGATGGAACAAGATTATTATAGAAGACGAGACTTGGTTTAATCTATGACACAACCGGTTTATTTAAAGTTGATTATATAGTAACTATCAAATTTTTCAACTTAAGTAGTTAGATAATCACATATCTGACACTAATGTAATTTAAAATAAAATAACGACTAGCACGAAGTCATATAAAATGATTAGGAAATCAACAAAATAAAATTCTTAACCACCACCTGCTATACATAAAATTGTTGATTTGTACATTCATTCTTTTTTTGACCATACGCACTCGATGGACAATATTTTGAAAATGATTGTATCATCATTTCGGATGTTCTTGAAAAGGCAATTAAGCCATAAAACAATTATTGCAATCTACCTTAAATAGCACTCCCGTGGAATTACCCTCCGACTAGTTGATATGCATTGATGGTTTGACCATCAATTTCATCTCACTACTGTTAGAACGGGATGTTACTAGTCGTAAAATCATATTTATTGAAAAAAAGCTTCATTATAGATAATTCATATTAATCACCATATTTCGTTATCAACATAATTTTTTTTTTATTCATAACAAGTATTATTTCGATTAATTATATATTATATACAGAATAAAAAAATTTTTTTAAAAAAATATTAATATAAAATTTTATAAAATAATATAAATATTATTTTTTAAAAATATGTGAATGTAAAATAAAAACCATTAAAAATTTCCATTTGTATTTTCTTTTAAAAAATTTTTTTTTTAAAATTATTTTAAATAAAATTATTTATTAAATTATATAATCAAATTATAAATTTTTGGTTTTTATTAAAAACATAATATTTAAGTTATTTATTTAAAATAAAAGTTTTACTTTATTTATTTTATAGTACATAATATATAAATTGATTTAAAAACAATTGAACAATATTTTTTTATTTATAATTTAATTAATAATATTTTATTAAAACTTATAGTTACTCTTTTCATTAATTCTTTAATCACCATTTCAAAAGATATTCAGATTAAAACATATCTTTACTCTTAAAAAAACCTACATATATTTTTTAATACAACTTGACAAATCTTGACAAAAAACTTCTCTATTCTTTATTGTTTTGCTTATCTTTTTAAAAAGAAAAGCAAAAAGATTTCTTGCTTTTATTTATCCAAGTTCTAATGACAAGAAAAAGCTTCTAAAAAAAAACAATTTATTTAATTTCTTTTCTTCTTTTTACTATTGTAATATCAATATTTCTATCAAAAGAATAATCCATAACAGAAAATTTTTTGAGCAAAGATCTTTAAAAATTTTTAAGTGTAGAATTCTAAAGGATTTTTATTATTGTTAAAAGACTCTGAAGTAAAAATTTATATATTAATCTTTAGAGATCTTTTATTTTAATATTAATAAAATATATTTATATTTACATATTATAATTAAATAATATTCAATTTAAAATATTTAATTGATTTATGAAATTATTTTTATTATTATATAATTTTTTTTATATTTTTTATTATTACTTAATTTTTTTTTAATATTTTTTTTATTTGTTTAAATCTTTGCTCATTGCCAAAATTATTTTTCCAATTTTTTATTTTTTAGTAGTGATTTTCAGATTATTTTCAATATTTTTATAGGCTTTCAAAAATTCTTTTATATAAATAATTACTGGATCAAACATTTCTTCATCTTCACAACCTAAATCTTTTTTTTCAAATTTATGTACTTTTTTAATTCTTTTCTAAAATATTATTAATAATAATTTATAATATTTCAAAGATTTTTAAAACTCATCTTATATTTTTCTATTTTGCTTTTAAATAATATTTCTTTAATTAAAATACTTTCACTATTCAAATCAAAAACTGTCTGGCA